ATATGTATACGCTGCAGAAAGAGAGAGAGAGAGAGAGAGAGAGAGAGAGAGAGAGAGGAGAAAAAAGAATAGTTCAAGCGAGAGCATCATGTGCGTACACAGCGTATCGTAATGTGAGTTTAAATTTCGATAGAACAGGCCCATGATGGGATTACAGTTTTAGCGCAGCAACGTATGCTTGACATGAATTATCAACGTCGCTGACAAAGGCATCGAGCCGAGTGTAACGATAATATGGTTAGAGATCGAGAGTAAAGATGTGCAGTCAATTTGGGACGGCCGCGAATACGACCGAGTATCGTTTAGCCGGCATTCAACTCTCGGCGACGAATTAATCGCGCTGTAGATCGCGGCTGGAAATGTTTCGTGGTGTCGCGTTCCGGAAAAGTACCGACAACGATACGGCTATGCAATTTTCCGATGCATCGCCACGGACGCGGGGCGCCGTCTGGACGCCCATAATCACCTCACCTCGCGTATCTATGCTTTTTCGCGACGAGCCTGACGAATAGATGCGCGGGAATGCATATCGTGCAGTTCAGTCGCAAATATTATAAATCGCGATATGTAAGAGTTTTACCGCGAAATAATTATACACAAATTTTTCTAGAAATCGTGTACAGTGGTGCGAGATTTTTAATAATTTTCTGCGCGCTTGATGCCTCGTTGAAATTCGATTTCAAGGATTAATCACAGAATTGGGTATCCTTGAAGATAAAATCGAGCTTCAACGAACGCAAGCTAACGAAATAGACGTGCGCTATACATAAATGTACGTGCGCTGAATTTCTATTATTAATGCCAGGTTAATTCGGGATCAATTCGAGTCAGGTAACGTTGAAAATCAGACGTATCTATTATGACAAGTGAAAATCTGAGTTTCAATTTCAGAGAAATTTAATTTACGCTGATATCTCAATAAACGCAATTTACTTTCGATTAGCTTTCGTAGTGGAATAACGTGGATTAAAATCAGCCAATCTGAGAGTGACGAGGAATATCATAAAATCTGAACAAAATTATGAAACTGGTTAAAATTATGTTCGTTTTACTGCACGATTTACAGCAGCACAAATCTCGGTTTTTTATTTAATGTTGCACAACGATAAAAAAGAATTCTAAAGAAGCGTTTACGAGCATCGCGCGTGCTATAGAAATAATAATAACCTATAACCACCACACGGAATTTAATATAGAAAGCAAAAATTGAAATGCAATTCCCATCTATTGCGGAATCTCTATCATGTTTCAATATCTTTTAAAGCACTTATCTAAATCGTCATTAATAAACAATAGCGATAACGCTAATAAATTAAAAATATCAGGCAAATCTTGCTTCAAGCAAATAAAAATTGTTGAGTCATTAAAAATCTATTATATACGTTAATCTAACAATCCGTATAAGATTATTAAATATAATTTTATTAAATTTTGTAATCAAATTAATAAAATCCGTAAAGTAAATATTATTTCAAATTCAAATTCGTCCTTTCTCTTCATGCTATTATTTCAGAAATCTATATCTAAAATTAAACCAAACGAAAAAATCTTAATATTACGTAACTTCGAAAACTACATATTCAACAGCTGTTCCAAAATCACTTGATATACAGATTTCACAACAAGATTATTCTTCATAATAACTCTAATTTAATGAAACTACAAGTAAAGTCTAATTTGTTTCTTAATCAAACACAATACCTTCCATTCTATCTAAATAACGCATAAGCACAAATCTATCTATATCACAATAAGCTTAACATAAGATTGATTTGCATCAGATCGTGTTATTATAATATATAAAGAGAATATCAATCATTCTGTGTGTGTATAAAGAAAATATTTAATGAAGATTACTATGCTTGTTAATAAATCTGGCACAAAGAAATACAAAATTTTGAATTTATGACGTCTATTTCTTAAATACCTACAATATGTAAATATCAGTGTTTGACAATTATTTGATTGATAATTTACATAAATTTTTATACTTATAAAAAATATATTTTTAAATATGGATCGAAAATAACAATAATTTCGTTAAATATATTACACATTACAATATTGCAATAATTTATAATATATATAATTTGATTGTTTTATGTATTTGTCATTGTTTGTCTCTTTTAAAGCTACAATATTAAATATCAAATACACAAAATTTAGAAGAATAAAAAATTTAAAAATCTTAAAATCTCCTCTTTGCAACGCAAAATCTCCTCTTCCAATAAAATAGATACATATATTACGTGATGTTTTCCTTGAAACCCTTCAAATTTACATATCATATTTACATGAATTGATTAAAATGAGAAACCCTGTATAATGGATCGAATATAAATAAACTTATTTCTGCAAAAATCAAGCCTATAGTTCAGGCTTTCAATTTTCCAATGTAGACTGACAAATTGTCAGCTATGAAAAAATATACAAATGAATATTTCTGAGCTCAATTTTCTCCGTACTGTACGATCAGACATTGTGTTTATCACGTAAAAGAGACAAGAACGTCAAATTCGTAAAAGAGATTATACTCGAGAAGATATCGATCAGCATCACTGTGATCTTCGCCTACATACTACGTTTACATCGAGATATTCTCGTTTATTGAGTCTCGGCCCTTTTCTCTGAGCCCTACCAACAACCCCCTCTCGTCAAGATAAATAAGTTCTTTCCTCATAAATAATACTGTAACGAAGCACTCTTTCTTTTTTTATCGTTGCTTTGCGCGGTAAAGGCTGACAGTAAAGGTGAAATTTGCTGACTATGCGGGTGGTAGTCATAAATTTTAACCGCGAAATTAAGCATTTTTTTACATTGTGGGATGCAGAAAGATGTATAGGCGGGCATTTATATGGTATTTCGCAGAAATGCCCACATACTTCCTTTATTTTGCTAATGAAATTTCGAAAGAAAAACTCTACAGTCATTTTTTACTGTCACATTTAGAAATCACAGGATGTAACATATATGATTTCTTATAAAGAAATAATAAAAAATATAAAAATTTTATCCTTTTTGCAATAGATATTGTGCTCCGTATTGTCGACAGTTTTGTAATCTTACATTTTGCTCTAAGAAAAACTAAGAAATGTTTAATCATTACACGAATCATTTAAAATTGATTAATTTAAAAAAAAAATATCGTATACATGCCATTTAATTCGGTACATTTCTTCAGTAAAAGTTAAACGTTCACTTTTCCAGCAGAGATGAATGCAAATCGTATGTTAAAATCATATTTTTACTATAAAAAACGAAATTTATAGGCAATTGTCATAGCAATGTATCAACGTGACGATTCAGTTGTACGAAACTTTTCGTTTCACTACATTTTTCACATTAATCCTACAAAGTTTAAAAGTAAAGACTATGAGATGCTTATAAGAACCAGTACAAGTTATAGTCAAGTATACAAACATTTTTTTTATTCAAAATGACAATAATAAACGTTTCAACTTTAGTTTAGGGTTCTTCTCAGTATACAAACTGCTAACAAATAAAACGTTCGCAAATTTGTAATTACAAAATAGATGTAATATAAAAACTAATCATATAGGAATTTAAAAAATTACACTTAATCGTTATATTGAAAGAAATAAAATTAACATTTTTATTAAGTAATCACAATTGTAGTGAATATAACTATTTTATTATATTCACTTAATATCTATGTGGTAATAATAACTAAAAAATATGTTTAAAAAAACTAAAGTAATAAAATAATAATAGAATAATTAATTGTATATATTTGCATGATAAAATCAACTACATATTACTATAAATAATAATATATAATTATCCTCAAAATGAGTATAAATTATAATCAAATTATGATAATTCTAATCATATTTTCTCTCGTGTTGGTTCACATAAATAGATCTCATATCAATTTTGTCATACGTCAGATGGATAAGCCGGTCAAGAAGGATTTCGATTGGACGAACTATTCCTTCTTGACCAGCTTATCCATGTGGGATATGACAAAACTGAGATATGAGAACATTTATCCACGCAAACCAGCACTGAGAGAAAAAAATAATTAGAATTGGCATAATTTAACTATATTATATTTATATTCCTGTATGACTAGTTTTTATATTATTATCATTACTTTGTGATAATAAATTTGCGGACGTTTTTATCTATAAGCAATTTGTACAATTGAGGAGGACCCTAAAAGATCGAAACGTCTATCATTGTCATTTTGAATAAAAGAAATTTAATAATCAGCTCGTATTGACTCTATAGGCATGTCACATTCTTTAATCAATTTTCATTAGAGCCTAAATTCTATTAATTGTTTAAAAGTAAAGATTTCAAATAATAATAAAAAGTGTGACAATATAATTTTTTCATCATATACACTGAGAAAAAAATGCTGTTGATTCAATTAAAGTCTATATTACGGGCTGTCACTAACATAAGTGATTAATTCATGTATATTTTTTATTGACATAAAGGCATAAATTATTATTTCAATAATCATTTTATGTCAATAAAAAATATACATGAATTAATCACTTATGTTAGTGACAGCCCGTAATATAGAATCTAATTGAATCAACAGCATTTTTTCCTCAGTATAGCAGTACATTACGAAATACGCGGATCTTTGAAGAATTAAATCCGTAATAGATAGATCGCGTGAATGCTAAGCAGGTTTGTTAGCGCAGCGAATGCTTGTTAGAGCCAGAACTTACAGCCATCAGTGATAACAGCACGCGTCGCGTCAGACGCGCACGCGACAGGACGCACCGTGCGGTACGGCGTCGCGACGCGTTGCGACGCGATGTATCGTCGCGCCGGTCGAGCCGATGGACGATCGTCGCAAATCGGAGCCGATTTGGAATGTGAACTAGATTTCGAGCTGCCGGTTAGACACGACCCGACGAGTCGCCGATGATCGTTTCAGAGCGGCGAGTGACGAAAGGGGATGCAACAAAATGGGAAGGAAAGAAGAAAGAAAAGGAGAAATGCGTAAGGCAGCGCTCTCTTACCTTCCCACGTCACGGCAAGATACACGCGAAATCCGTCCACGCCATTCTCTCTCTCGAGCACAGCACCGCACTGCACCATACACAGAGCACTACTTGAGCAACACCTCCTCCACTGATCGGTCGGTCGGTCGGTCTCTATCTTGAACTATATCCCTCGTTCCTTCCCCGTCTACCTTTCTGCTCTTTCTATCTTGGTCCACCTGTCCGTTTGTCCTCTCCCTCGCTCTATCTCTGTCTCTCTCTCTCCCTCTCTTCCTCCCTCTCTCTCTCTCTCTCTCTCTCTTTCTTTCTTTCTCTCTCCCCCTCTTCTCCTCGGTCACGCCGGCAGGAGAAATCCTTCGTCGTCGGCCTCCCTTTTCTACAGCACCTTCTCCTTGCTCTCGGGGGCGACGATCGGGCCGTGTCAATGAGCGCGACGTCGCGATCGGAGTCGACGACGGTGACGATGACGACGGCAACGGCGACGTCGCCGATGGCGAGGGCGACACAAGACGTGATTAGGAGGAAGAGGAAGAAGAAAAGGAAGCGCCTCCCTGCGGCACGCGCGCGCGCGAGAGAGAGAGACGATCCAGCATCCAGCTACGCCCGTGACAGCGTCTGGGCAACTACTGAGGAGAGGATCTGCGCGGTTCCGGCGCAAGCTTTCGTTCCCGTTTTGACCAGACACGGCGCCACCGTGGACCATCCTTTTCGACGAGGGAGAAAGCGAGGATCCGGGGTGAGAAGAGACTCGCGGACCATGAGGATGAAGACACACGCGCGCGTCTACTCTACGCGTCGTACTTCGATACGAGAGATAAAGGTGATCCCAATGATATTAGAAAATATATCCCTTTTTTTACTTCTCACTTTCGTATCTACGCATCGATGTTTATTTGCCGATACTACAGGTGGTATCGATATTTTATGAGAATATTAATCAAGACTATCAATATCCCGCGCCAAGACTATCATCTTTTATTATTATTTCCAAGTCTTTTCAGAATGAAAGCTGTCATAAGTTGTTTATTGCAATTTGTAACGTGACTTCCTCGCTTTATAATCACAAATTATATGTTTAAGGTAAAAAATAGTTTAACAACATTATTTCTCTTTTTATCGTG